AAACTGCCAGAGCTCCAAAAGGAAGTCACTGAACTGGGTCACTTCCTTTGGAGTTTTATAGCCTGGGCTCTGGATTGCGGACAAGTCTTCATTTTCCTGTATGTCGTGTTTGTCTTGGGGCTGGGGTTGTGGCTCCTGCACGAGGCCTTGGGTTAAATCTGCAGCCTCATAAAGCAAGCAAACAAGGATGGAAAGGTGTATTCTCGTCTGTGGCTCCTCCTTTTCTCTCTGCTTCCTGTCTGCCGCGAAATACTTTCTTTGTTTTTCCTTTCCTTCCTCTTTCTTTCTGTTTTTTCTTTCTTGGTCCTAAACAAAAATGCACAGACTCTAAATGAGATGAAGGCAAAGGGTACAAGGAAATACCACTGAAAAAATAATTCCAGTTAAGATTCTATAATACTTTCATGCCATGTAAAATTTAATAAGTAATCTACGTAACTCTTAGCACTGTGCCTAATATATTAAAATAATGTTTAAACAGTGGCTCCTATTACTCTGCCCCACATTGTGATCTTAAAGGTATTTATAACATACGCAGAATGTTTGAGATATAACAGATTTTCAGTAAATTCCACTCATCATACTGAAGAAAAATGATTTTGAGCTCAGTGTAACAAATGCAACATTACATTAATAAACATGTATTTAAATCTATTAAATAGGTTACATATATTAATAAATGTCATTTGAATGAAGGAATTTTCTGGAAATACCAATTCTTTAGAAGTGTTGGGATTTTTCTTATCCATGGCTATCTTTTTAGCTCTTGTAAATCACATTCTATGCTAACAAACTATATGCTCCAATGTTCTTGGTCTTCATACTGCAGAAGACAGTATCAGCAAAAATAACCATTAAGCCTTTGGAACAACACATGACATATGACACCAGCCATTAAATCATCAATACATTGGACAGAATGGAATTACTTGCCTCATCGAAACATAATGGCAGGAAAACAGGAAAAGCAAAATTGGAGATGGGCTTGCTCTGAGGCTGAAAGCGAGTCAGGCTTCTCTGATTTCTAGGGTATCACTGCAGGTCTTCGTCAGTTCAACCTTCAGGTGTTAAAAGAGGACAGATTCCTCTTTCTCATAAAAGTAAGATTTGGGGCCCACCATGGGTGCTAGCAGACGGCTGTCCATCTCTGTCATTCTTTGCATTATTGTATCAATGGTCTCTTCCTTTCCTGAATCATTTCCATTAGCAATAATACATGCTGATCTCTCCATATGCTACACACATGCACTTTACGCTTCACCCCCATCCTTCTCTATCTTTCTCTTGTTATTACCTCATTTCTCTATTCCCTGGCAGATAAAAACTTTTGGAAAGAATTTTCTAGGAATACTGCCTCCACCAACTCGGTACACAGCTATTCTCCAGCCCACTCCAATCTGGCTTCTGTCACCAACATTGAAATGAAATTGCTTTTGTCATGTCACAAATGAATTCCATTTGCTACAATCATCGGGGCCTTTTCCATCCTCGTCTCGCTTTCCTTCATGTCCCAGCAGCACTTGACAGAAGGGGTGATTCCCTCCTCCTGAAATGCTCTCTCTTGGAGTCTGTGGGTCCCCCTCCTCAGGCTCCAGGCACGATTCTCTCTCTTGAGTACTTGCTCTGAATAATCTCACTCATTTCCATGACTTTAAATATACTCCATCTGCCGATGGTTTCCAAATTTACACACTCGCATATCCGTTTGCCTCCTGCCATTTCAGTTGGGATGTCCAATAAGTATTTCAAACACAGCTGGTCGAAAATGGGACTCTCGTGTTTCCCCCATCACCTGCCTTCACTTCACACAGGGTTCCTAATCACAGCCCCTTCGTTGCTCAAACTGGAAACCTGGCAGTCAATCACGTTAGTGTCTCCACCACCAGCAATCACCAAGTCCCATCCACTCTGCTTCCAAAACACTTCTCAGCTTCCTCTACCCCACATGCCTGGGCACCATCATGGTCCATGCTACATTATCTCTGGTCTAGATAATAGCCGGAGAACTGTATCCTGTCTCCCTAGATCTGTTCTTGGGTCTCCCCTGCCTTCTTTGTGAGAACTCCTTGTAGCACCCCATCTTATCATTCCAAACCAAAATGCCTTTTGGAAGTGCGGACATGTTATGAAAGTAGAGTTAAAAAGAGCTATTCATTAATTGTACATGGTGTAAGAAGGAAAGAGAGAAATCAAGAATGGCTGAGTGCTGCTGGAGTAGCTGGACTGTTAACAAGATGGGAAGGTTTGGGTTGGGTACAGATGTGGCTGGTGGGGGTAAGAAGACATAGAGGTGACTAACAGTCTTATTTTTGACATGGTAACTCTAAGCGGAAGTGTACATAGAGACATCCATCATGCTTGTTGAATGATAAGTAAATCAAGTTAGACTACCACAGAAAGCAAACTCAGGGAGGGATGATTTGGGAAAGTTGTTAAGTCTACGACGTGTTAAAGACTTATGTGAGGTACTAATGGAAATCTCATGGCTTGGAGGTATAGACATGAGAATTACTACTGAGAGTTTAAGGTATGGAAAACATACAGTTGATGCACTGAGGCTTTCATAAATTAAAATATTTTCATATCACATTTTTATTCAAAAAAAAAAACTTACTTAAATGAATCTGAAAATGCTCATCACCATCCCTGGCTTCTCACCCAGAATCCAGTAGCACTTGACTTCCACCTCCACAGGTATAACCAGAAAATGCCTGCAGACATTGACAAATGTCATCTGAATATGGGAAGGGATGGTCTTTGATTGAGAACTACTAGATTAGAGTATCAACGACAAAATCAGTTTTTTTCCCAGGCCATAGTATATTAATATTGGGGAACACTAAATAGCTACAAGATGGGAACATTTTGAGCTTTTATCCTGAAAATACTCTTGGGAAGGAATTTACAATCGAGTAGCCTGCCGGCACCCAAGAGATAAGGTAGTATATTGGTGAGCTTCACTGTTGCTGGGACAAAATTCTCAACACTCACAACTTCATGGAGAAGTTTAGTTCGGCTCAAGGTTTCAGCCATGGCTGGCTGGTGCCACTGCTATGAGTCCTAGGGGAGGCAGGACATCATGGAGAAAGGCCATGCCCACATGGTGCCAGGGACACCCTCCAATGGCACATCCCCAGGAATTCACTGCTTCCAACTTCTAACAGCACATTAAGCTTGCAGTATCACTGCTCACAACGTTCCTGTCACCTCTCCAGGAGTCTCTTAATTCAGTCGAGATGACAATTAAGATTAACAGGCCAAGGAAGAGAAGAGGTGAGGCTTAACTCTGAAGCCTGTGGCCTTCAACCCATGCTGCGGATAGCCTTTGTCTCCCTGCAGTAATCCTGCCCCATCCCACTGTCCTGGGCGGAGAGGTCCGGTGGAAGCAGACAAGGCCTCCAGCCTGCTGGAGCTGACTGATTACTTCATTGAGAAGGCGCTCAGTGCAGTTCGGTTGCTGCCCTCTAGCGGGGCTGCACAGTGAAGCCCGGCTTATTAACGTTTCCTCTTTTGATTTCAAAGCTGCATTTGCCCACCTGGCTCTGAGTTTGAGCACCAGGACTCAGGAGATACAGACGTGCTGACCCTCTAGTTTCCTCTCATTCTTGCCCCAAATCGCATCGCTGAAACTCACCAGCAGCTTCCCTAATGTGAAGGCGAATGCACAGGTCAGTAGGGACAGGAGAGGAATACCGAGGACGGGTAATTTAAGTGCTGCAGTGTTCTCAGGAAGGTAAAACACCGCCCTGTTAAAAAGTGTGGGTCAGGGCGACTACTAAAAACCAGGAACGTGCTCTCCGTTTGGCTTGGGGTTGCTGAACTAGATGCCCTTTGTTGCAGCAGTTGAAAGCAACACTATTCTGTGACAGAGGCACAGACATTATTCAAAACACTGCTCTTCAAGAGCAATGCTACGACACTGTTCCTTACAAGTTCCAGCTGACGTTAGAGCATCTATTTTTGGGTACGTCCCAAGAAAAGAAATGCTAATCATAGAGCGGAGTTTCCGAGTGCAGACTTTAAAACACGGAGGGGCAAATCCTGCCCTTGGGGCAGGGATGGAAAATAAGTTTTCTGAGGAAAAGCAAATTCCATACCTCCAGTGTTAAAGGCTTCTACTCAATGTAATGTTAATAAAGAAGAAATCCTGAACTCACTACACCCAACCTATGTAAACAAATTTTCATTTAAATAATTTTAAAATTAGGTTTAAAAAATCAGCATTTTTTACAGTCCACCTAAAGCATTTTGGATTTCTAAGAGTAGGGAGCCTCAGATTATACTACAAAGCTATAGTAACAAAAACAGGATTGACATAAAAATAGATGTAAATTCAATGGAATAGAACAGTGGACAGAAAAACAAACCCATATAATCACAGTTAGTTTGACAAGAGCCACAAACACATATTGGGGAAAAAAAGCCTCTTTAACAAATGGCACTGAGAAATTGAGTATCCCTATATAGAAGACTGAAAGTAGATCCTTCTAGTACAAAAATCAATTAAAAACACATTGAAAACCTAGGTATAAGATGTAAAACTTTAGAAATACTAGAAGAAAACAGGGAAAACGTTACTCATAGCCACGGACAAAAACTACCCCAACAGTATGCGAAATAATAGCAAGAATTCAATGAATGACTTGTCAAAGTTTTGGCACAATAAGGGAAATAAGGAACAGAATTAAGAGGTAGCCTCAGATTTGGAGAAAAGGTTCAACTTTCTCACTACTAGGGAAATACAAATAAAAACTACATTGAGATTCCATCTCACTCATCAGAATGTTAATCACTCATCAGAATGTTAAGTAAACATAAAACAAATTCTGGCAAGGATGTAGACAAAAGGTGCCTTTCTACACTGCTACTGGGAATGTAAGTTAGTACAGATATGATGGAAATCATGAAAGCACCTCATAAAACTAAAAACAGAACATTATACAACCCAGCTATATGATTCCTTGGCACACACCTGAAGGAATTAAAGACAGACTACTACGGAAATCTGAATACCCATGTTTATTGCAACACAATTCACAATAACCAAGATATGTAACCAGCTTAACTGCCCATCAACAGGGGAATGGATAAATTGTGGTATGTAATATACAACAAAGTATTTTCCCATAAAGAAATTTTGCCACTTGCAAGAAAATGAATGGAACTGAAGATTGCTGTATTAAATAAGCCAGACTCTGACAAGAACTATGTCTTCCCTAATGTGTGGAATCTATTAAAGACATTAAAGTAGAAAGTAGAGTACTGTTAGACAAGAAGAAATAAATAAGGGAGTAGGGCGGCAATGTAATAGATGATAATGGAGATGAGAAAAAGTTAAGGTGTCTACTACACTCACTCAGGTATAACATTCAGCAGGTAACAAAATGGTATGTATGGTCCTGCTGATTTTGTCATAAAATGCATTAATACAGAGAAATCAAGAAATCATGCAGAATGCTGCCCACTAAATATTTCAATTTGTTTATGGGCCTGAGATACTGAGAACATTTTTCCTTTTGAATATAAAATGTCCTTTTGACCACAAAAATTATACAACTGTTTTTAAGCAGAGGAAATTATGAATTGATATATAAGGTATAGATTTATTGGCTTACAGTAATCATTTCACAATGTATACCCACCTCAAAACATGCAAGATCTTGCATACTTTAAATATACATATATGATTTTGTCAATTATGCTCCATGAAAAGGGGGGAAGTTGTGTTCCTTGTCATGAGGAAGTAGTTAGAATATGTGCACCACAGTGATTTTTATCTCTACCGGTAAAGTTGGCATTGGAGATTCAGCTTTAAGTAGTATGATATGCATTCTTCTTATAATTTTAAAAATAAATTTAGTAGCAAGTTTACATGTAAGATCTGTAACTAAGTAGGCCTGAATGCCAGATAAAATCTCAAAAGAAGAGCAAAAACACAAGGCATAAAGCATATGAGCAGAGCAAGCTCTTGGAGCTCTTCTGAAAAGGGCAATCTCACTTATAGGGCTCTATACCTAGGACCTAATTACCTCATAATGACCCCACTTAATACTATGACATTAGATATTAAATCGGACACAAATTTTGGGGTGAAGACATTCAGTCTACATCATCGAAGGACGACTTGTTACCTAGAGGTATTCTCTACAATCTATTAGTCAACTGGCAAGTGAGTAGGGAGCAGAACACATTCAAGTATGCAACCAATCAGCCTTAGCTTTCATGAGCCAGTGATTCTATCTCAAGTACATCTACCTTGCTGACACACAGCACTTGTACAATCCGTTAAGGTATAAAATTACCTGCAGAGAACAGCTTTGCTTTCTGGTATGTCCATTTATTTTACCACCTCTAGGTAATATCAATATGGATTGCTCCTTTCCACCATCTCCATTGTAAAGTTCCATGGGAGAGGTAGGACTTAGGTCTTTGTACAAAGATACTTCTGCACCTTCTAGATGAGGTGTCTTACCTTGTGAAGCCTGATCCATGCAAGTGAATGCTGCTTCCGAAGAAAATAAAGATCAAGAGTTGAATTTGCTGCCTAATCCTAGTGAGTGTTCAAGCTATTTTGGTACAAATTTGAAATATATCTGCGGTTTACACTGTTTACTAATTTTCTCCTTTAACTATAAAAACTTTACTTCTTGCTACTCCATTGTTTCAATAAGCTTTTACGAGAAGGAGACCAAATAGCAAACCTTGGGTTCAAGGTGAACATGAGAACAGGAAGGGAGAAGAAAATAAAAAATAATTACAGGAAGCTAAAGAGGCTTTTACCATAAAAATTATAAAATGTAGTAAAATAAATGGGCACACTAGAAAGGAAATACAGAGTTAATGGCCTTAGAATGTTTTCTGTGTTCAATGGAATCTGGCCCTCTTTACTAAAAATCACTTCCAAAATTATATAGTACAAATTTCATGAGTTAAGCTAATGAATTTTCAATGTTGTTTTAACTTAAAATATAAAAACTATTTTTACATCTAAGTAAACTAGTAAAATATAGTCCATATAAAAGTGAACTCCTCCAAAGACAATTTAATAAAAGAATGGAACAAAACCTATTCCCACATGATGATCATCTTAAAACAATACCAAGAAAAAGCCTACTTCTATTACTTAAATGAAAATATTTGTACTAAGTGTTGCAAACAAAACCAAAGCAAGACAGGCAATTCTTGCTATGAACTTTATTTCTGATCTGGAAACTTTATGTTACTGTAAACAGACACTATAATAAAAACAGACATTGAAATTTTGCATGAATACTTTGAGTTTACTTACAGTCTTCAAATTATCTCACATAAAACTACATGTAAATTATACTTTGTATTGATGATTTAAAATCAAGCACAACAACATAAAAAACAAAGCCTCTTCTTCTAAAGGAGAAACGCTTTACTGTGAAGTCATCCTTACAACGTCTCTGCTGTCAGTTCTGAGTGAACCAGGATGGCCGCTTCCTGTTTCGTTCAATGATCCTCTTGCCCTGATCCTGTGGGGATGGTGTCTCTCCTGTGTATAAGACCACAGTTTCTGTGGAGGGAGCTTTAAAAGGGCCTCCTTCTTGTTTCCCCATCTGTCGTCTGATTTCTGCAGTTTCCTCACGCACTTTCTGATAGCAAACCCCACAAAGGACGTGTTTCAATTTTAGGTGACCACATTCGGGACAGACGTCAAAATTGTTCTTTAAAAAAACAAACAAACAAAAATATCAGCAAGAGATATGATACACAAATAATCATCAACAGGAGTGACGTTCACAGTTTGGGTGAGAATGTTTATGTTACATGAGGCCATAATATCACTTACATTCAATCTCACTTTAATTTATTTTATTTTTTGAGACTAGGACTGTGTAGTTCAGGCTGGCCTCAAACTCACAGCAACTCTTCTGCCTCAGCCTCCTGAGTGGCTGAGATTACAGGTGTGCACTATCATGCCCAGCTTTAACCTCACTTTAATAAAGAAACTGACAATAATACCAGATTTGAATTAATAGAAGAATCAGGACTAGAACTCATGTTTACCGACTTTGTATGTGGTACTTAAAACACAGCAGTCATTTTTCTTTAAAAAAAGTCTATTCCCTTAACTCCAAATATCTAATAAGGGATCCATCCACATAAGGGGGTCATCTTAAAGCAGAGAGCATCTTAAAAAACACGCCAAGGAAAGGGAAATTCTCTTCGATCTACCTTAAGGAAAATAATATTACAAGAACATTATGTGCTCGAGTCCTCTGCTTTATTACAGTATGATTTAAATTTCTATTCAGAATACAGGTTTGGTAGATGGCACAACTTTTCTTTTTATTTACAATCGATTACTCCTTAATGTAAAACTCCCATGATGCTACAGTTTGAAAGCTTTTTTTTTTTGTTTTTTTTTTTGAGACAGGTTCTCGCTCTGTGGTTCAGGCTGGCCTTGAGCACAGGTTGGTCTTGAACTTGCCACAATCTGCCTGTCTCAGCTTCGCAAGTGCTGGGATTACATGAGTGTGCCACCACGCCTGGCTCAATATTTTAATACACTTTATACATAATTATAATCCCTAAAAAATTTCAATATATTTTGAAGGTAGATGTGAACAAAAATACAAAGAAAAGGCTTTTCTTCAATCAGGAGATTGAAGAAATTTTAAATACTTCTTAACATTAATACACCAACATGTATGAGGCTGATAAGCAAACAAATTTCATTTTCTGAAAGGACAAAGAATCCTCCTAATTACTGGTCTCATCATATTCTCATTTTACTTTGTTGTGATGGGTTGTGTGTACACCTAAGATATGAAAAGACAACCAGTCAGCTGGTCTTTTCATCCTCAAAGTACCCAACACAATACTGTGCTATCCATAGCGGGAAATAACTTGTAACAGAAAATGTATGCACAGGATAAGAGCAGTAGGAGAACTTAGGTAACTGATTGGTACAGGATCTCATTTCTAAAAGCTTAAATCCTCAAGACCGACTTTTATGGAGTCCTAAGTAAAATGTTTCTCAGTTTCAGATGTAAATTTCACCTCTACCATGACTCAGAAACACTTTTTGGTTTAAGTTCCAAGGGTTTAAATGTGAAATGTGGAAATGTTCTTGAGTTTCATCCACATAGTGCTGCTATGGTGGGTCACAAAGCAGGCAAGAGTTGAAATTGTTAATTGTTATGACCATAAATTGACACTATACCTACTATAATGCTTTTCAATTAGATCAATGAACAGAACTTTACATATGATGGGGTAAGCGAATCTAGATTTGTCTGAGCACACAAAGAAAAGTTTCAAGAGAAGAATGAGTTCTAAAATCAGACTGCTTGCTGTCAAATCCTGACTTTCCCACTTAATAGCTTTTTGACCACAGACAAATTCTTTTGGCTTCTACTTCTTCATCTTACAACGTGAAGAAAGTGCCATTTACTTTGGAGGACTGGTATGAGAATACGAGGGGACAATGCACATAAAACACTGAGATACATCATAGGTTGTGATTGTCCCTTGAAGTATTTTATTGGACATGGTAAAGGATAAGTGGATTACATAATGGCTAGTAAAATCTAAGACCCAAAATGCTCGCTAGTTTTTACTTTAATTACCACAGTTAATGTTTATTCATTCGTAATTCAAAATCACTCAGCCCATGACTGACACAGTTCATAATTGAGAAGTTATATGGATTCTTCACAACCTAGTCTTCTGTCTCATCTCCAAACTTCTTTTACTGCATTATTAGTACTAGGGATACAGAACACTAGACGTACCTAGTGAGATTACTGTATTTTAGTTAGGGCAGACCACAGACATATAAAATTTGAGAATAATTTATCCATACATGTTATGGATTAAAAATTGGTGGTCAACTTAACGCCAGCTAAATTAAATCAGCATGGTGCTAAGTGTAGATGGTCCACCTGAGAAAAGTTGCCAGCATAGAGTTGTGGAGAAGACAAGTTAGGTGTCGTAGATTCTCCTAGGTGTTGCTGTTTGAGCTGTTGGTTCTCCTGGAGGAGCTTGCCCTGATGAGCTTCCCCAGTGAGAGTTAGACCACTGTCATTGGAGGAGCTTGGGACCTTGTTGGTGAGAATGACTGTAGTTCACTTTGGGGGAGCTCTGGTCCTTACATTGAGCATCACTTCCTTGCTCCGGAGGGGAAGATGTGTGCCATTTAATCTCTAAGAGCAACTGTCATGCTGGCTTTCTGGCACGTACTCTACTGTCCTTATTGTCAGAGGAGTTCAGGACCTCCTTGTCACTGAGGCTGGCTGTGATGCCTAGGGACAGCCCTTGTCTTTGTGTGACTTCTTGGCTACAGTGTAGAACCTTCAACCTACCAGCACAGCTCCTTCACCCCGCTGGCATAGGCTTTCTAGCTTCCACCACTGACCTTTGAGCTTCCCAGCACGGATCCTTAAAAAAGAGACTGGTGTGGGTCCTTCTCGTGGGCTCTATACCTCCAGTTGGACTCATGGGAGGCACGGTCATCTGGTTTTCATCTGGACTCATGCGGGACACTGTTGTGGGATCCAGGCCCTCGACTGAATATTCCAGGTTTTTAAGTGTTGTGGACAGATTTCCTGCACTTTCTTGTGTTAAACTCTGGGTGACCATCATAAATAATATTATAAATTCTGTGTCCTGATTGCTAATTGTTCTCTGCACAACTCCTGACTACAACAATAGGATACACGAATATACCACGACAATACTCAATGGTGGACTTGAAGAAAAGCATAGTCACAAAAATGAATAAATTACCTTAACTTTAATAAGTTTCTGAGGGTTTCTTCTTCTACATCTGTTAACTTCAATACTGCGTCTTTTTTTGGGAGCTGCCATCCAAAAGATACTATCCAAGAGGCTGGTATTCTCCTGATTTCCACTGGAATCATTTACTGGCTCAGTAAATATTGCTGGACCCTGTACTGCTAATGCTGGTCCTATAAAAATAAAATATGGAGATACAGAACCAATTTCCAGCTCCCACATGACTATTTACAAATATCATTCTTCTTGACAATCAACCCTGATATGTCAACACACACACACACACACACACACACACACGCATAGTATAGCAAGTTAAATTAAGTAATACTTAACAGAAAATGTAGCTATTAAAATACACAGTACTAAAGCTAATAAAAATGGCATTTTTAAGTAACACAAATAGAATTTTTTCTTAATAGAACTTGCTGAAATGAGATGAATGAAATTCTAAATTTCTCACCTCATGAAATACAGGACTCAGAGGTTTAGTAATAAACATGAGTAAAAGTTTGAGTAAAAGGAGCATAACTTAGAATCAAAATCATTCAACTGTCCACATTTTACTTCGTGGAGTCAGTAAGAACTTAAGGTCCAAGTAAATCTAAGGTTGTGATTCCATAAATGCACTTGTGATCTACACTGAGATAATTTTGTACTTGCTCTTTTAAAAATTCACAGTGCCTTTTATTATTTAACTTGGTAGATTCCTTAAGCCACTAAGTTCTTCATTAATGTTTAATCTTGACTCCTGTTTGCTAAGAAAAAGAACTAGTTCCTCACTTCATATAGTACGATTTACATGACTATCAATATCTCCCTTTTGTTTTTTAAAATGCTTAAAAAAATCAAAGAAATTCCTTTACCTTTTGCTATTCTTCAGACTTCTGATACTTCTTTTGATTTTAGGAATTCTTAAAGTACATAAAGCTCTCTACACTTAACAAACGGTATTGTCCAGTAAATCTAAAAGTATTGCTAAACACAGTCTGGTGTTTTGTAAAGGAGGCTCTGGATTAAAGGAGGCTCTGGATTCCCTGTGTGATCTTTGAATGTTTTCAAGCCTACTTGTTCACTTGAAAAGTGGAGACACCTACTGGAATTGTTTAATTTACCCCACAGAGCACATAAAAGAAAACTTAGCAGGTACATATTTTCTTGGTATATATCTGTTGACTACCTGAGTGTTTTCTCTTTTGAGGTACTCTGTAAATGTCGAAGCAGTAACAGTTTTCATACCCAAGATATTTTTAATAAAAATTCATTCCTGAAGTAAACACAGGAATCAGAATTCAGCTTCATAAAACTCCAACACCACACAAGAGATCTAATGACATTCCATGTGCATGGGAGTGGGGACCGAAAAGGAAAAACAGAGACCCCGATTGGCCATCGTCGATGCCAAGTGAGAACTGCAGCGCTGTGCACATAACTCTACCCAGAGCCCTGCAACGAAAGACTTGCCCAAACTCCAGCTCGACTTCCAGCAGCATAAGGTCCCGTCCTCAGGATGACCTCAGCACCCCTGAAAGTGCTTAAATGCCAGGAAAATATGCTTTTTGTTCTCAACATACACAACACCACGCACAACACACATACATCAAGACTACCTAGTGCTAGGCTCCTGAACTCCCTTTCTCCTTAATAATAAACACCGTTTATTATTAAGGGCTTACAATTTCACAGGTGCATCCTGCAGCCCAGGAGCTCAAGGCCCAGATGCGTTGCTCTGAAATATAATCATCAACCAGGCTGTACAGGGTCTCTGCCTCCCAGTCTTTGTGGGCGAGGAGAACTTAACTTCGCTAACTAGGAGCTAGCAGAGACGGACTAATCACACTTATACTGGCTCTGTTTCTCTTTAAAATGTCCAAATGGCTTCTGCACAAATTGGAACGGAGCTCGGCGCGTTCCCATCAGTAGTTACCAAACAGGATCCATTCTCGGCTCTTTAGATAAAGTCTGATTGTATTTACCTCTGACACAACTTGGGACGCTTGGATAACACTGTACGAATGGAAACGCAGGGGTCCTGTTACCCGGAAGAATGCAAAAATAGGTGACCGGCTGCTAAGCGAAAGGCACTGGGGACGTCCTGCACGGTGGGCGGAAAGGAAAAACTAAGAGCTGCAACTGCTACGCAGTCCGGGGTCCTTACGTCAGCCTTTCTGCACTCACCCCACGGAGGACTGGAAAGGCTCGGCCAGCTTTGCTGGAATTTTCGCTGCAACAACTCCCAACAGTTTTGGATCAGTCTCCGAGATATCGGCCACGGTGGAATCGTTACCAGCAGCATGGCTGCCACCTTATTCCTTGCCGGAAGAAGGGGTCCTCGGCACTGTTTGGTCCCGCCCCTACTTCGAGCATGCGCACAGACCCAGAGTGGGGCAAATCCGGCTCCTAAAACTACGACTCCCAAAATTCATCGGGGGCGACTTTGACTCTCCCCTCCAATCAGAGAGAGAGGAGGGAGTTGCTGGGACGGGAAGTGAAATTAAACTGACCGTAAAGCGCATGTGTGCGGATGTGCTTGGGCTCTCCGGTTAAAGATGGCGGAGCGCGGTTACAGCTTTTCGCTGACAACCTTTAGGTATGGAAGGGACCCCCAAAGTTCTTGGCGTGGCAAAGGTTGCAGGAGGTCGCTTGACTCTGTTTTGTGCGTCCTTGCCTCAGCGTTTGTGTTTTCCTAGAGTCTAGGAGGAAGTGGAGACGGGAGTGCAGCTTTGCACAGTCATTTGCCGGGCTGACTCGAGGCCCAGACGAACTTGGGGGTGCATTCCTGGGAGGGTTGTAGATAGTCATTCCCCTTCGCCCTGGAGACCAGAGAATAAGGCACTTTTGTACTGGTTCTCTCCAGATGACCTGTTCGGAACTCGGGATTTCTTTCCTGGCCTTAGTAGGCCTGATGTGGGCGGAAGCTTCTGAAGCTTGTAGTCTTAGTTAATGCGTGGGGTCGCGTGTTTTGTTTTAAATCTCAGCTTTATTGTTAGGTTGGAGTGCTGGTCTTCCTTTGGCATTCGCTGTCTTTTGAAACTTCCGCTTTTGGTTTCTTCGAGGACTCCTGATAGAAGCACAGAGACTGAAAAATGAAAGTGCTGATTTGTCTGACAGGTTTTTTGTGGATCCAAACCGTTAGGCAACAGTGTGTGTTAAGTCTCTTTCTTCTTTTTGGGTGTATGTATGCTTTCAAAAGATTTCAGACCTTCTGTTGTAGAACAGGAAGTTAAAGAAAGTAATAAGTATTTTTTAAAATACAGTTGATGTACACAGTCATATCCAGTTTAAGAAAATCATCACGGAAATATTTCAGAATCCACGGGGAAGGGTTCTAGTTTGACCCTTTTCTTAAGGATTAGTAGTGACACATTTAGTTTGTTGTCCTTTGTGAACACTGACAGCAGATGGGATCTCACTTGTTGAGCACTTTCTGTTTAAGTGCAGCCTGACCTACTTCGTTACTTTCCACTACCATCAGTGATGAATGTTATGTCAGCTTGTTACAGATGAGTTAACCACTGCTCAAATTCAATAACTCAAGGTCATCCTGAGTTGACATTCAAGCTGCATTTTTTCTGATAACAAAAATTAAAACTTCCCATTATATTATGCTGTCTTTCTGAAATAAGTAATGCCTTCCATTTGACAAGAACTAAGGTTGTATAATTTTGTATCCTAAGTTTTGAATGAAGTTTATTTAATTGTGCTATATAGGCTGTCCTGTCCAGTGACAGAAAAAGAATTGGGCAAGGTAGTCACTGTTGACATTTGTGAAAAAAGCAAATATTTCTTATTTCTAAGAAAATGTAATCTTAGTAGAGCTGAAACATAGAACAGTCATCTATTATCCAGGGCTGAGTCTTTTTATAACAGACTTTTTTTTTTTTTTTTGAACTTAAACTTTTGAGCATGATGATTGAACTCTTCGAGACAAAAAAGAAATTGTTTCTATCCTGTTGTAATCAGAATTAAACTACAGCGGGACAAGTGACTAGAAACCAGAAAGAAGGTTTTCATGTGGCTGACATTTAGTTGAGAATATTGCCAGTAAATAAACAAATTGGTGCCTACCAATCAATTCTGGAAAATGGTTTTCTGTTATTCAAGAATTTTATTTTAAAACTATGAAAGAAGGGATGTAACTGTCATGTTTGGGGAGGGTTTTTGAGACTGGAAGATGAAAAGAAGCCAGTTATTTGAAAATACAGTAGAGAGAATAGTTGGTCTCAGAGGATGTACTATAAGCAAGTACTGTGCTTGAGGGCCTGTAAGATGAGTAATATTTAAGTGAACCAGGACATTATTACAGGACCTAAGTGGGAGTGATGTACAGAGGTGACTCTGGCTGGAGGAGAGCAAGGAAAACTAGTTAGAAGTCTGTTTCATTTATCCCAGGTAGAGATATTGGTATTTTAGGATGCTCAGCATACCCAGGTTAGTATGCTAACAGAGCATACACAGTATATAGAGCATAACAGTACACAGAGGATGATGTGATAAAGGCGTGGACAGATAATGGAAGTGGAGAAAGTAATTTTATGAGGTTTTACATATTCCTCACGGGTCTGTGAACTAAGTATTGAACAGTATTGAAAGCTGGGTAGACCAGGAGAGTCACTGAAACAATGGTTATTAAAGGGAGAAAAAATTAGCCTTGCTTTTAAATCTGAATATAAAGTGCTTAGGTCAGCCAATTTTGTTGTCTTTAAGCTGCGGTCCTTAGTTTTATTTCTTAAATCAGTCTAAATGTCTCTTTATCATCCAGAACTGTAGATTTCTGTTACTAGGTTATATGCTGGAATCCTGAAATAATTGAAATATGATGAGCTTTAGCCAAACAGGAAGAAGTATGGGACCACAGAGGCAGATTGTATGTCATTTAGTCTTGTCTTAGAATTCAGGGATCTTCCCTAAGAACATGGTGTAGATCCTAAGAGTTGCAGAATGGCCAGGAAGGTGTTCACCAGGCAACAGAGAAGTGAGTTTCAGACAGGAGAAATAGCTTGTCTGAAGTTTCTGATTTTAACACTAGTCATGTAGACTGGAGCAAGGTGGGATGATACAACTCAAGATTAAAGCGACAGCATGAACTTAAAACAGTGGTCTTCTGAAATTTAAGATTGTCTTTTCAATAGTAGACATGAGATAGGGATTTAGCTGTATCACTTTGCAAAAGTTTTTTGGGAGATTTTTTCTTTATAAAATAGGAAGGTTAGTTTGTAATGTTTCTGATCATTCTAACTGAATGACTAGTGTGAAATAAAATGTGACCTAAAAGGCCATTTTGGAACTCATACTTAGCTACTAACGCAAGTAGACTAGATCTGTTAAGAATAACCATCAAAGGTTCCTAGAATTAGGAATCAGATGTAATGCAAAAATCCTATACAGAGTACTTCAGTTCTCTCCATGATTCTGGTTGCAAACCAAACTGCATAAGAACTATATCAAACTTCCCTCTGAAGTTAACAATTTAATTTGACTTGGTTTTCATCCAACTCAAGCTTGTGAATCAGGGTACCACTGTGCAGAGAATACATTTTGTGAATAATAACCTAGGTCTTACATGTAGGTTCTGTCTATTAAAAAAAAACAAAAAACAAAAACCCCCTGCACATTAGAGTTTGGCATGGCAGTGTATGTCTGTAATCCCAGCACTTGGGAGGCTGAGCCAGGAGGATCCCTGTGAGTTTGAGGCCAGGCTGTGCTACAAAGTAAGTTCAAGGCCAGTCTGAACTGCATAGTGAGGCCCTGTCTCAAAAAGAAACAAAACAAAGTAAAAACTCAAGAAAAATCCCACAAACACCTGCACATGAAATACATCTTAAGATAGGTATGTATTAATGTTATTTTTCAGTGTATTCTTGCAAATTTTTGCCATAAACTTTTATAGACATCATTTCATTTAATCATCGCGATTCTTTGAACTAGGTCACTGTAGTGCTGTTATCCCCATGTATAGGAAAGAAAACCGTGCGAGGTAACATGACTTGCCCAGAGTTACGAGGTTGGTAAGGGGTGAAAAGGAGGACTCGTAGTACTGCTCTAAGTGGTGGATGAAAAACACCAAGGGAGCGAAGCAGCGCTTCATCATGAGAGCGTTCGAATTGCCTTAGTTTATGAATGAACACTTCCACGGACAGATTTCAAAGGCCAGCTGTTCCTTGGGGTTTGATTAATGGATTTGACTGGCACATCTGCCCGTTTGCAAAGATGTCTAACAAAAAAATCCGTGAAAATATTTGACCTTAGCACATAGCTGTGTTTCCTTTCAGCCCATCTGGAAAGCTTGTCCAGATTGAATATGCACTGGCCGCGGTAGCTGGAGGAGCCCCTTCCGTGGGAATTAAAGGTAAAGACGTGCTTCATTCCTTCAGATGTTTTTTAGTAGTTAACCTAATTTTTTCGAATTAGTAATTTATAAGTAACTATGGCACCGTAAAGTTTAGCAGTTCTTTTTGTTAGTACAGTTTGAATTGTAAAGAAAATAGTATTAAGCCTATGAAGTGATTACGATTTCTTTTCAGAGTAAATTTGACTCCTTTATGTGTTGTGGGAGTTTACAAAGTGTTCTTCCCATTCAGAAAACTGAATATTTGTTTTCCTACTGTTTATCACTGTTACCTGGCAGTTGTAATCCTTCCTATATATCTTAGAAAGGCTAATTAGAAAATAGTCTGAAGATTCTATAGTTGTTTCATGTCCTAGTATTTTTTTAAAAAGGATCTACATTTATTTTAAATTTTTATGTTAAATTTAAAACCTGTAAGCTTGCAGGTATCCTGGAGTACTTTAAGAGAGGTTGCATAATATCATTAGCAATAGAGATTTTTTTTTAAAGTGCAGAACAAGTGAACAATGAGGGTAAAGTGAATTTTACCATTTCTGAGGAAATTTTGATACAAGAATCCTGAAGAAAAGGTTTTATAAATTACAGGAAATAGAGGAGTTTGGGTTTAATACATCCATAATTAAAATGTTGTTGAAATACGTCTTTTAAATGATTAAACATGCAGGTCTTTTTTTTTTTCTTAAGCTGCAAATGGTGTGGTGTTAGCAACTGAGAAGAAACAGAAGTCCATTCTGTATGATGAGCGAAGTGTACACAAAGTAGAGCCAATTACCAAGCACATAGGTTTGGTGTACAGTGGCATGGGTCCAGATTACAGGTACTTTATTTATTTACTATCTCGTGAATTGATTAGAATCTGTACTTTAAAAAGTTGTTGGCAGCTGGCTTGGGTGACTTTAAGGAACTCAGGGGTTCTGATGACTGTCCTCTCATCATCCAGAGTTAACCTCATTGCCTTTATTTTTGTCTTGTCAAAGGGACAAAATTCCCAAAGCCTACTGGATGTTACAGAGCGTTACAACCAGCTAGGATAAAGATATTTGTGTAATTGCTGCTTTTGATTTCACCAGCAAGTTGGAAGTGATTTAGAGCTTGCTATGTCTGTCTGTCTGTCTTTCTTTGTTTCTGTCCTTCCTTCCTTCTTTCCTTCCTTCCTTCTTTTCCTTCCTTCCTTCCTTCCTTCCTTCCTTCCGTCCTTCTGTCCTTCCGTCCTTCCGTCCTTCCGTCCGTCCGTCCGTCCGTCCGTCCAAGACGGTCTCACTACATAGTGCACGCTGGCCTGGACTCACTATGTATCCCAGGCTGACCTCAAAAAACTTGCAGCACTCCTCCTGCCTCAGCTTCCCAAGTGCTGGGTGGGAATCAGGCATGTGCCACTGCACCCAGCTTGTCAGTCTTTAGTAGTGTCAGCATTTCACTTTGAGTGAGAAAAACCAACAGATGATCGGATTGTGAACAGCCTGTAGCGTGGTGGGTGGGGTGACCGCTGAATGGAAGGAACACTGCTACTGTGTCACACTGATAGAGTAAACTTAGGCAGAGAAGAGAGTCATGCAGGGCGCTAAGGTGCACATCCTGGATCTATAGTACCTAAGCAGGTAGGGATAAATCCTGTATGCCCTGCTAATACATTTGTTGTATATCCTTAAGATCTTTTGACAGTATTTATATTTAAAGTTAAAAGTAGTTTTCCACTGTCTTAATCTCTGAAGGGTTCTCCAGAGTGTAGGCAGTCTGCGAGAAGGTGGAGGTAGAGTGAGAAAACATATGCCTGAAATTGTGCTCAGATGTATTTGTGCTCATGTGTTTGTGGGCCTGGTAAAACACGCAAAGACATGGTAGCCAGCCTTGGGATAAGGGGTGCAGTCTTAAGCCACGGAGAAAGAGAAACCTCACATTTTTTACTAGGTATTCCAGTTCCTGCCTTTTTCCTTTTGCCTTGTTGTCGTCTGTCTCCTATTGGCCAGCTGCTCTACGACACTCTGAAATGCTCTTCTAATCAGTTGGGATTGGATGGCAGAGTAAAACTGGCCGCTCAACAGCTGCCTTTAAGATAACACATTAAGCTTGTGCTGTAGTTACATGCTTACAGAACAAGAGTGCGTCTTCGGTAGTAGAGCACCTTAATTTTAATCAGTGCTTCCATCTTCCCGGTGTGCTAGAGTGCTTGTGCACAGAGCTCGGAAACTCGCCCAGCAGTACTACCTTGTTTACCAGGAGCCCATCCCTACAGCCCAGCTGGTACAGAGAGTAGCTTCTGTGATGCAGGAGTACACCCAGTCGGGGTAAGGTGCTTTTGTTATGTTAGTATCTGAAATAGGCCATGAGTTAGGAGGCAGAAAGTCATTTTAAAAGGATGAGTTTTTACTACTTAATAGTCTGGTATTTGTGCAACAAATACAATCACTACATTGAATGTTTCACTTCTTAACTAGACCTAGAGTATTTTCTTAGGGAAAAAGCATCACTGTTTTCTTGTTTATACAACAGAAAAAAGCTTGTGAATCGAGTTATTTTTGCCAGTGATTATGGGCAGTCACCACTGCCACATTGTCTTTCCACCCAGGAATGATTATGAGCATGTGGTGAAAGCAGACTTTCTATTGAGTTTAAGTAACGTAACGTAAACATAGTTGTTTATCTGCAAGCTTGGGAAGGTCCATACTAGCTGGGAATTGTGCTTGTTAGGACACTGAATGTCCATACCTAGTGACTGCATTGTCTTCATTCGCTGTGTCTTTCTTTGTTCGACACTTGAGGCCGGGCCCTTTACAGAAGAGGCTTATTTATGCTCATGATGCTGGAGGCCTGACAGCATGGCATGGATGTGATGAGGGCCTTCTGCCAAGTAGCACTGCAAGGCCAGAGCGCTTGCCAGAGAGTTTATATTTTGAGACAGGAAGCAAGGGACAGCAGAGGGACGGGCTTGCTCCTTGTTAACGTCACTCTGCACTCCGGCAAGACAGCCCACTCTGAGACACCAGCAGCAGTCCTCTCCCAGGACGGTGTCCCCTGACTGCAGTGCTTTCCACTAGGTCCCCTTAAAGATCCAGCTCTTCTCAGCACGGTCAGGTCAGGAACCATGTGTGAGCCTCAGGGAACCCGAACAGGCCACGGCCAGGTGTGGCTCTGTGTCATCCAGGGTTTCTTGACTCTTCTTACCACCATAAAGAGAGTTCATTTTCTGTTGATCCAGTTAGAAAGGCCTTGAGTACTTTTTAATGACTTTAAGTCAACTTCCGTTTACTTGATAACTTGGTTTACTCAAGAGTATTGGTAAGTTTGCACTGGAGCATGATTGTTAACCACCATGAAGATACTGAATGATTGTCATTTTCCTTTCTGCAGTGGTGTTCGTCCATTTGGCGTTTCTTTACTTATTTGTGGTTGGAATGAGGGGCGACCATATTTATTTCAGTCAGATCCATCTGTAAGTATTATTTGATACATTTGAAGAATTTTAAAAAATTGCTGTTTGAATATCTAATAAAAACAGAAGCCATGGAAACTTTACAATTAACAATTTCTCTCTTTTCATTTGGACTTCAGAATGCGTAAAGTAGCTACAAACTACATTAGTTTCGCCCTGTTTTTTGTCATTAATGCTACATACTTCAGTGACTCATTGAAATAGTTGTTATTCAATCTCATTAAATCTGGAATTTTGTTACTTTGGAAAATACAATTCAAGATGTGGACCTGAAAGACGTCGTCATCTTTGTTGTTAGTTCAGTGTTTTACAAAATGAGTACTTAACCAATATCTTGAGTGAGTTGCGTGCTCCAAACCAAGAGTTTGGTATCTTGGTAAGAAGGTGTCCCTAGAGAAGATGCCACTCTACACCTGTCTGCTTGCTAAGGAGACCCTTTATCGTTCACTGCGGATTATTACATAATTACAAGGTCACTTAGTGCACACTTTATACTCTAATGCTGCAAATTTAAAAGGCAAAAGAAAAATATTCTGGTTGTTACTTAAATCAGAAAAGTAAATGTTTTGGAAACTAGTGACAGTGTAGTTACCCCATCTCTGAGTTTCTGAAGCTAAATGACAAGCCCTCCTCCCTTGCCTTCCAGTGGGTAGCAAAAGCCACTGTCTATGAAATCATGTTCATCTTTTGTCTCATTGTTTCTTGTATCTAGAAGGCAAGTGTGTCTTTTAATATATTTGATATGTTTTTGTTAGGGTTCTTTTCTGTGTGCAGGTACATAATTTTCAACACATGAGGCCATATTACATATGACATTGCTACTGCTTTCACTTTGCCTAGGTTATAAAATATTAAAACTTTTGAATGTTTGTAATGAAAAGCTTCCCTTTTAATATATTCATTGATACTGATGAGTTGATCGCTAGTTTCAAATTTATTTGACAGATTTTTAAGTTCCTTGATTATTTGCTTTACATTAACCTGAGTTTCCTTTTATTGACTTTTTCAACAAATTTATATACAGTAGGTTGGATCATCAGCAACCCATCATCATCAGCTTGATGAGTTTTGATATATATACATACCTGAGGAGACGAACACACTCAAGATACCAAATTTCATAACTGGGATTTCTTTATGTCTCGCTGTCATCCGTCCCTCTTAAGCTTTTAAAAAATAACCTGTGATATTTTCATTCCATCCCAGTAAACACTCAGTGACCTTAGATAGATGTTAGAGAACAATTGTAGAGTTAGAAAGCAAATGGCAGAACATGTCTTTTTCTAAAATCTGACTCTTTTCATTATTAGGGAGCTTATTTTGCCTGGAAGGCCACAGCAATGGGAAAGAACTACGTTAATGGGAAAACTTTCCTTGAGAAAAGGTAGGCTCACTATAACTGGATTCACTGGAAAACTCACTTTAAGGATTTAAGCACTCTTCATAATTTTATGAATGTAAATAAATTTGTCTTATCTCTGTATTTGAGCTTAGTTACAGGCAAACAAAAACTTGTCAACATCCTGGCATCTTAAACTTCAGTATATCGAGTGGTACTATGATTCATGTCTCAGGACATCTTTTTCTACATTCTTCTAGTTGTGTCCTAAGTGTTTTATGTCGTTTCACTTCATTTTTCCCACTACTTAAAAAAAAAACATTTAGAATAGAAAAAGCTTTAAGTGGTTTAATGATACTGTATATGACAGTAAAAATTGTGGAAGCAAATACTTGGTGTGGAGCAGACTGAGTGTGCTATCGAGTAGTGGTGGAAGGCCTGCAGTCCCCTGTGCCCAGCTATATTCCAGACTTACTGATACACAGCCCTCCAAGAGTGGCCCGCTTTGAACAGGAAAATTGTGTAATTGGCTTTGACTACAGATGATCCTTCCCTACAGCCTTCATGTAATACTAATACCATTAAAGATATAGGTAAACTTTGCCATGGGGTCATAAAACACTTTTCTTTAACTTATATTTATTAGTGAGTCTTCAAATATTTCATGTTTTAACATATAGGTTATAAGAACAAAGGAGATTCTATCAAAGGCTCTTTGCTTTGTTTTTAAAAGTTATTGTAATATATGCTGCTGCTAACATCCTAATTACATGAGTGCATTAATACTTAAGTTTCCTAAAATAAATTCATTTTAGGATTGTATTCTTTCCATGATGTTTAGGATTAAGTACCAAATAATAGTCTTTTCTTTGGGGACATGTATCTCAGTGAGGTGATTTTGAGGATTGCATAATGTTTTAAGTTTCTCTGATGTTTAGAAAACCTTAATGTTGTTACTGTCATTGATTGTGTAGTCATAAAGAATGTAAGCAGTACCATAAAGTCATTGTTTAAAATTCTCTTTAGATACAATGAAGATTTGGAACTTGAAGATGCCATTCACACAGCCATCTTAACTCTGAAGGTTAGCTCAGCACCCTCCCACTGAACTTGTGGTTTTCTAGTGGAGTGTGTGGGAAGCTGACCGTTTTTTCTCCCTTCCCCGGCAGGAGAGCTTTGAGGGTCAGATGACAGAAGACAACATAGAGGTCGGCATCTGCAACGAAGCTGGCTTCCGGAGGCTCACTCCGACCGAAGTTAAGGACTACTTGGCGGCCATTGCATAATAGTGAAGAGATGGAGTGACCTGAGATTTCAGATAATCTATCTACTTAAACATGTTTAAAGTATGTTTTGTTTTGCAGACTTTTTGCATACTTATTTCTACATGGTTTAATGGACTGATGTTTTTAAAATGACACAAATCATAATAAACTGTTAAATCCAACTTCCAGATTTTTAGGAGTTAGTAAAATTTTAACATTTCATCCAACATTTTACCACCGAACATTTTTTTTCCTGCTATTCATTACAATTGGGTGTTTAGAAACTACACTGCAAGGCAAAATGATGAAACCACGATTCCATTCTGTGCACTTCAGTTCAGTCAGATCACCATCCCATTTGTAGCGATAGTGCCCGTGTTTCTGTAAAGTACAGAGCTGGTTTTGGTAAGTCACTTTTGCCGCTGAGAGAATCTGCAAACTCTCGTGGACCCATGACACAAATAAGCACAGGTGTTGAGGGTATGTAGGTGTGGGATCATTGAGGTCCTAGAGCAGTGGTGGTGAACCTGTGGTACTTGTGCCGCAGTGGGCTGGTATCTTTGAAGGCTCTAAAAAGTTTGCTTGGTTTGACTGCATTGGAGCTGTGAGAGCTGAACCACACGGGTCTCCTGTGGGAAGCATTTAAATAAGCTATGGTCTGCTTGTCCTGGTGGTTTCTCTATCACAAGTACATAGGAATATTTAAAACAAATCTCTAAATTGTATAGATTTTTTTAGTTCAAAAATGGACATCAATACTGGAAATAGTAATCTTAAGTGTCAAAACTGGCTTAAGGCTGTCCCTCATCAGTCTTTAATCAGTCTTTGCTGTAAGTAAGGTTCTTAAGAGGAAACCAGTAGTGGAGAATTCACATAGGAGGTGGTTTTATTTCTTTGGATTTATTTATTTTTACGGCATATTAGAAAACAGGAAATCACATCTGATTGATTAAGTATCTGTGTGTTGATGGAGCAGAATTCATGAGTGTTATTAGTCTTAACAGTATAAAGAGGTGTAGTAGATAATTCCAGGATTTAAATACAGCTAAAAAAGCATTTAAGATTTAGCTAAGTTTAGTGGAAAAGCCTTATGTTAGAGCATTTTTTACAGGGCTTACAGTTCTACTTCTCCCATGGCACATGTCTTCTTAGGGTGGCAGAAGCATTTTAGGAGATGGGCGATGCTACCTTAGCATCCTGCTTAAAGGTGTCTGTCTTCAAGACCTTGTCTGCAAATCTCTCCTTCTGAGCTGCTGGTGTATTGTGATTCCAGCACACTAGAAAGTGAACAGAGTAATAAAAAGGAATGGCTTAGAAAGATAATTATCTTAGGGAGATTTTTTTTGAAAACTATATCTCATAAAGCAAGGGTAAAGCCTGGCATGATTACTGGTTAAATACATTGTTAGCTGTGCTTGAATTTATGTAGGCCCTTTCTAATATCTCATATTAAAAACCCAGAGAAATGCCAAATTTCAAGAAAGCAAAGGAGGAAAGAGTAAAGATATATAAATTTAAGAGAAAAGGAAAATGCATGTATGTTTTTATTGAGCGCTAACAATTCATCCCACAGAATAAAGGGAGGAAAAATTGGCTGACGACTATTAAATCCAGGTTCAGTTTCTGCCTCCAGCCCCAAAGTCCAGTTCCAACTGAAGCTGCCTCTGATTCCACTCTTTGTGCTCAGTTTTCATTGTCCTTACTATTAAGATGCTCTTTTTGTTCAGTTCTTGGGAGACTCAGTTACTGCTTTTACGGTCATAATGCTCCTAAATGTTTGCAGCTCCCCTCCCCTGCCAACATACACACTTTGGGTTCAATTTGTGTCTTAAGAACCATTGATCTTCACTTTTTTCCAGCCTTTCCCTGTCCCAATTCCTTACTGAACCATGAATTTACAGTTACAAAACAGTTACTGTCAGAGAAATAGACATGTTTAAAATGCACATAGGCAGGAAAGGAGGGGTAAATAGGAACAATACAGAGTTTATGATTTGATTACTGCATGCTAAAATATTGCACATCTATAAAGGAACATCAGGAAAATTTTCATATATTACTCACTTGTTTTCATAGAAGGAGTCCACTAAAACTCAGTGTGTAACCTCACCTCTATCCAAGTGTCTCCTTGTCGGTATAGGTAAGTTCTCTGACCCCTCACTTACAGAGCAGCAAACATGTTCTGTGATTTCCAGAAACATGGAGGAGGGCTGGTCACACCCTTGGATTAGAATCCTGATTTCCTGAAAAGCAACCCAGGGCTCCTGTATCAGCGTCACAGGTCCTCAAGGTTCTGCAACTTGATCTGCCCTGCACCCTGTTGCTTACAGAGCTAGAAAACTTGGCAGCCAAGTAAACAACTGACTAAGCATGAGCACATATTTAAAATGTGAGGTAGTACTTCATCAGAGAAGTCCTGGGTTCTGCCCTCGAGTGTTTTCAGGTGTTTCATCCAGTGCTTTCTTGATGCTATACTTCCAAATGGTAAGTTAATACTCTGTTCTGCCAGATGAGAATATAGCGTTCCTGTGTCACCCTCACAGCCCTTCTCCCTGCCTAGTTTACTCGGTTAATCATGCTTAGTTTAAAAGGTTTTTCCTGTGAGTGTAAGTATGCTTTGACTTTCCTTGTAACTTTCCTGTGGTTTATATTGCTTCACTGGGTTTGAGGCTTTTCTTTTTGTTTTCTGTCTGTTGTTTTCTTGTGTAACCATCTCTCAAATTCTTGCCAGCTCCCCCCAAGAAAACTAAAAAATGCTCTATGTGCTGTCTTCCTCATGGCAGCAAATATGTAAGCTTCAGCAATACTGTCCCCAACATCTCCCAGAATTTTCTGTCTCCCTCTACCAACCCAGGTTAATAGGTTGTTTGAAACTATATTCTGAGTTGGCTGGGCTCAAAAATTCCAGATTAGAAATAAATTGTCTCCACATTTTGAAAGCATTTTGCCTTTCTCAATTCTAGTGTTATTGATGGAAGCCTCATGCTACCTGTGTATGTGATACCAAACCTGCAACTCCTAGATTTTGTTATATCTGCAATGGATTTTCATTTTTGACTCTAAACTTCTGTTAGTTGGATACTAGACCTTTTTGTTTTGGCTGTATATTTTTATCTCTACTCTCTAGTGCCCCCCCCCCCAATTTATCTGTTGACTCTTAAATTTGGAATTTTTATGGAATATTTTATTTTAAATTTTTTTGAGTACATGTTTGCCATACATGATTACATTGATGTGGGGAACTGCTACTTATACTTAACATCTCAGCTTTTTGGAGATGCTTTTTACTTTTAAGAAACAGTTTGCCTGTCCTTTGTCATCTCTCAAAATGAATTTTTTTAAATGGGCAAAATACTCTTTTATTTGAAGGTTCTAGTTACAAGATACTTTTTAAAACTACTTTATTATACTTCCCATTTCCTTAAAAATGTTTGGAAGCATTTGTGGATGAGGTCAGCCCTCCTTTCTAGGGATGCTGAATTTCTCTGAGGTCTTTCATTTGCTTCATATCAACACAAAAAAGTTTGGGTGGGAGTGGGGGTCAGGGCATTCCTGGAGGAGCAGAGCCCCCCCACCCCCAGGACAATATTCCTAGGGGCACCTCTAACCATCTTCCATCTGGAACCCCTGGCTCCCTGTCTTTAGCACCGTGTTATGAGGGCATGGAATGGCCTAGCTGGTGGGCAGGAGAGGGACTTGGTGTTTCTTAGGCAGACCTCAGTCTCACCTCCCACCTTCCGGCGGCCACCTCAGTCTCACCTCCCACCTTCCGGCCGCCTGAAGTTCCAAAGTCTAGGTTGTGAATCACTGGTTTAATAACCCCTCCTGCAGGCACAAAACAGCTCTGCTGGGAGGTCCTCTGGGTTTTAAGGAATTTACCTGTGGCTTCTTACCTGAAAATACGGTATGTCGCTTTTTAGGTTAGGAAGCCAAAACACGCGTGGAACCTTTAGAACAACGCTGCTTCTGGAAGTGTTAGGGTCTATCCTGTCTGCATCTTTGTCTCTTTTGCTTTTTGTCTTGGTAGGGAAAACCCACCCACCAAGGGTGTGGAGAAGGAGCAGAATAGCTGGCATTAATTTGACTGTCTTAGTATTTAGAATTGGTTCATTCTCAAATCCATCGTTTTGGGTGGCGTTGGACACTGCCCCCTTTAGTGTGGTGGCACATTTCTGAAACAGCACCCTTGGAGACTGGGGCCGAGAGGAAAGGGTGCGCACAGGGCCTTCTCACAAAGCCACATCCCTAGACCTTTTCTGAGACAGGGTCTCAGTTGCCCAGCCTTGCAGAGTGCTACGATTACAGGCAAGCACCACTACAGCTGTCTTGTAACAGCAGTTTCAGTGAGGTTTCAGCATTATAGAATGAAGCCCCACCCGCTGAATCCAGTGAGGATTCAGTATTATAGAGTGGCGACCCGCCCCCGCCGTCTCCTGGTGCTAAGGGGCCAGTCTTGGAATTCCTGGTCTTGTTCCGCAGGCAACAGGGGGTGCCCTTAACAAACATGGCCGCCGCGCCGGCGTCAGCAGCGTCCCACAGGCCGCGCAGCCGCCTGGGAATCGCGGGCTCGGCGTCGGCCGGCGCGGGGTCACGTGACACGGGGAGGTGCCAGGGGCGGCTGGTCCTCTAGCTGAGAGGCATCGGCGCAAAGTGAGGCGGGCTGTCCAGCGTGAGGGTTCCGGGGTCCGGGCTTCGCATGCCCGCGTCGCCCGCTCAAGCTCGCGGTCCTGGGCGCTGCGGGTGAGGAACCAGGAAGGGGAGGGCGGCCTGCTCGAGGGAGGGGCGGTGGCGCGTCAGCAGCACGGACACCGCTCGGCTGTGGCCTGCGGCCTAAGCCCGGTTCAGTCCAGCTCCGCTCCTGCCGGTTCTGTGAGGCGGAGTCGGCGCCTCCCCTCCCCCAGCTGGAGTAAGGGGCGGGCAGGCTGCGGCTGCCTCGGTCTGTTAACGCACAGCTGAACCGGTCCTGATACCTAGTCAGGACTCAGTGCCCAGCGGAGCTAGGAGGAGCAGGTTAAAGACTGGGTGGAGGAGAGGAGGCAAGCGTGGCCTGGGCAGGGGTGCACACGTCGACTTTGCACACTGCTTACCAGCTGCAGCGTGCCTAGTTTCATGTTAAGTATTTTACTTGGGTGTTCTGAAAGTTATTTCTCAGCTGGGTCAGCGATGGATCTCCTGGCTTCTAAAGAAATGAAGATCTAAACAAACGTGCCAGGATCCATCCTATGGAAGGTTCCATGCTTCCCTTAGTGATCAAGAGAAGGAGGCCCTTCGAAGTTAGACTTACAAAAGTCCAGGTTCATAGACTTGGCCCCATAAACTTTGTCGCAAAATTGAGGTTTTTAAGTCCTCGTCACTTTAGAGAAGGGTTTGAATTCGTCTTGTTTGTTGTCTTTTCTAGGAAAGGAATAATGCTGTCAGCATGTCTGCACACTCCATGCTCTGCGAACGAATCGCCATGGCCAAGGAGCTGATCAAGAGAGCAGAGTCACTTTCTCGATCAAGGAAAGGTGGCATAGAAGGTGGTGCAAAGCTGTGCAGCAAATTGAAGGCAGAATTAAAATTTTTACAGAAAGTAGAAGCTGGGAAAGTAGCTATTAAAGAATCTCATTTGAAAAGCACGAATCTAACACATTTGAGAGCCATCGTGGAATCTGCAGAAAACCTGGAAGAAGTTGTTAGTGTTCTTCATGTCTTTGGTTACACAGATACCTTGGGAGAAAAGCAGACCCTTGTGGTGGATGTCGTTGCAAATGGTGGCCATACTTGGGTGAAGGCCATTGGCCGGAAGGCTGAAGCACTGCATAACATCTGGCTGGGCAGGGGCCAGTATGGTGATAAAAGCGTCATTGAGCAGGCTGAAGACTTTCTCCAGGCCAGTTACCAGCAGCCCGTGCAGTATAGCAATCCCCACATCATCTTTGCATTTTACAACAGTGTCTCCAGCCCCATGGCAGAGAAGCTGAAAGAAATGGGTATATCTGTGAGGGGAGACATAGTGGCGGTGAACTCTCTGCCAGATCACCCTGAAGAGCTACAGCTGAGTGAGAGTGAATCCGATGATGAGGGCCTGGAACTTTTGCAGGTGACCAGAGTAGACCGAGAAAATATCCTAGCAAGTGTTGCATTTCCAACAGAGATAAAGGTTGATGTGTGCAAAAGAGTCAATCTGGACATTACTACCTTAATCACCTATGTGTCTGCTCTTAGCTATGGAGGTTGCCACTTTATCTTCAAAGAAAAAGTACTCACAGAACAAGCAGAGCAAGAGAGGAAAGAGCAGGTTCTACCTCAGCTAGAGGCATTCATGAAGGACAAGGAGTTGTTTGCTTGTGAATCTGCTGTCAAGGATTTTCAGTCTATTCTAGATACATTAGGAGGACCTGGGGAGAGAGAGAGGGCTGCTGTGCTAATTAAGCGAATCAGTGTAGTACCAGACCAGCCTTCTGAGCGTGCCTTGAGACTAGTGGCTAGTTCAAAAATTAACAGCCGTTCATTAACTATTTTTGGGACAGGAGACACCTTAAAAGCCATCACGATGACTGCCAATAGTGGTTTCGTTAGAGCTGCAAACAATCAAGGTGTTAAATTTAGTGTGTTTATCCATCAGCCTAGAGCACTTACAGAAAGTAAAGAGATGCTAGCCACCCCCTTACCGAAAGACTACACAAATGACAGTGAACGTTAGTGATGTTCTTTAAAATTTGTCATGGAAATAAGTTATTTATACCAAAGGCTGGGTCTTCCCGTATAAATTGTGAGAATAAGGTCGATAGCCTTTATGTGTGACATCTATATTTAAAATATACAATCTAAAGTAGATAAAGCACAAGAGATAACCTTATTTATCAAACTGTCCACATTACAGTAATTATATGTATAAGAGTTTTAGGTGTCTCATAATACTTCTATTTGATTCAGTAGGGCTGCATTCTTCCTGTTGCTAATCACATTTCATGGAATATGGCTACACTGCATCTTGTGTTCATTAAATCTTTGCAGAAATCTCTGAAGCTTGATTTTCATTATATTGGTTTATCACTTGATGTGGTTAATGCTGGGAGGTAATGGTTTATAATTGTAAAGTTAATGACTATTAATGAAAAGAAACATTTGATTACTATGTGTCAGGCACACTATGGTGGGTATGTTCACAGAGTATGTAATACAGAAGAAATTAAAATACAGTGAAGTCTGATCTGAGATTGCTATGAATCTGTTGATACATGTTTGTGAAAAGAAAAATAGCAAACAATCCTACTCTGATAAAATATACCTAAGATCTGTAAGGCAGAATACCAGTATGAATAATTGAAAAAGGATGCTATGAAAGATTTTAAAAGACAGGCTGTAAGTCCATCCACCCTGTATGTCAAGTATTTAAATTATGGATACTACCCTTTCCTTCTCCATTTACAAGTGGCAACTGACAGATACATTAACTTAGTCATGAAATGGTGATAGGAGAGTCCATGCCAGTTGCATGACAGATTGTAGTTAAAAATAATTTTCTGTAGTCAGGCATGGTGGCAAATGCCTAATCCCAGTACTGTGGGACGTTAAGGCAGGAGGGTGGCAAGTTTGAGCCCATGTTGGGCAATTTAGTGAGATCCTGGGTCAAAATTTCAAATTGGAGGGGGAAACTGGGGATGTTCAAGAGGCCCTTGGTTCAATCCTCAGTACCACACATGATTAGGTGAATATGTAAACTTCTGTGACTACCTTGTGCTTAGTGCTTTAACAATCTCTTTGCTACTGCAGAATGGCATAAAACCTATTTTTCAAAGTGAGAATTTGAACCTTGGAGCTTAATAACACTAAGTTTAAGAGCTGCTAGTGAAATTTGACTTGTGTAGTCTCATCCAGAGTTTCTACTTTTCCAACTTTCTCATTTGTGAGAAGGGAAGTCAGTACCTAGCAATAGTGTTGAAGTAGAATTTGATTATCAGGCTCCAAGAACACTAATACAGTAATACTGTAAGTCAGAACACATTTTCTAGGCAAAAAGCTATGATTTGGCTTCCAATATAGTGTAGGGAGATATATTGTCTAATGTTAAAAACTGAATTTAGGCCTTTTGAGCAGTACTTGGTAGTAGTAAAGTACTTGGCAGTGGTAACTACTAGGCATTCTTATAATAGTTTATTATAAAAAGATAAATAATTGCTTATTAGTCCAGAGGCAAGTAATTAGTTAAATTATGTTTAAAATACTGAAGTAGAGAATAAGGAGACAATTCTTGCTGAGGAATCAGGAAGTCAAGAGTGATATTTGGGGTGTTGGATATGAAACCTCCAAGCAAGAAATGATGTTCAGAATTATACATAGTGGGCCTGGAAAAGTTACGGAAGAGTGAATATGAGGGCCTATTCCTGGATCAGGCTTTAGGGGATAGTTTGTAAAACTAGAGATGCTTAGTCAAAATTTTTTAGAGTTTGGTACTAGAGAGCCATTAGTGATTTTTAACCAAGGATTGGTTGTGATCAGATCTCTTATGAAAACAGTGTAAAGAAAGTTTGAACGGGGGAAAAATATGAAACTGTAACCATGACCACAGCCTGAGTGAGGATGACAAGATGCAGTGTCATGGATGTATGCTGTTTTTGACTCAGAATTGTGACAGTAATATCTTATAATAAGCATTTACTGTATTGAATGTTTGCCATATTCCATTATGTCTTAGTTACTTTTCTCTCATTACTGAGACAAAATACCTGCTGCCCAAAATTAGGAAAGTAAAGGTTTATTTAGCTTACAGTTTTTAGAGGTTTCAGTGCATACTGAGCTGGCTCCAAGGCAGGGTCACATGGCTAACGGGCAGCCATTCATGTGGCTACAAGCAACAAGAGTGAACAGGGTAAAAAGGGGAAAATCTCACCTCCTTCCCTCCCTTACATACTATACTGGCTTCCAGCTGCAGCATTCACATTACCAATCCCAGCATTTAACAATGAACCAGTCACAAACATTAGATTCAGCCACCTCCATGACTGCATGAGGCTTTGGAGGCACACCCAGACACAAACCGTAGTATAGCATAATAGGAATTGTTGGATATGGCAAAAACTTGTTTCAAGAAGGTAGATTTCTGTTCCTGCTCACTATGAATCAGCTCCTAAGAACCTGGCATTTTGCTGATTAGAAAGTAGACAAACAGCACTGAAGAAACTGTTTAGAAATGGCCACAGTTGTGGTGCTGCCAAAGACATAATCCTTTCCTGGGCACTCTGATTACAGATCCTAACTCTGCAATAAATAATGCAAAGATAAGATGGGCACAAATAGTGGGGCACTGGGTCCTATCTAAGAAATAAACCCTTATCTAGAATATGCATGATTTGTAGACCACATCTAGCTGACTAATGATAGCACTTCATAGAGGGAAGAAATAAGAGAAAAATGTGGGAAATTATCAAATGAATGTCCAGTTAATACAAGTTAAAAGTTGTTGAGTTGAAGAAATCAACTCAGATGTCTAAAAAGTGAGTAAAAATAAAAAAAAAAAATTTTGTCTGGAATTTAAACAGGGAAAAATAAAAGTTGTTAAAAATATTTTGGAAGTTGATTAAAATTTTACCATTGAGAAAATAGACCAACAACAACAAAAAATAGCCAACATAAAATAGGGTATTAAACAAGAAATATAACTGGTAGTATAAATTAACCAAACTCATAAAAGAAAAGTCAAATCAAAATAATTCTCAAGAAAACGAAGAACACAGCTAAAAAAACTGCAAAATCAAGAAGGACATAAAACAGCTATAGAAAAGATTAGAGAAATGTACTATCTATACCTTTGATAAATTTGGAAATCTGATGATTTTCTTTGGATATATGCCTTAGAGCTGAAGAACTAGCTTAAATGAGCAATAATCACTGAAAACAATTGTTAACATAGTTAAGCAACTTTCTCCAAAAAGTGTGCTGATCTAGTTGACTATTAATTGAGTTTTTTCTTGCTTTTAAATAACAACCCCCTTCCTGTAGCAATATGGTGTTCAAGATCATTTCTGGGGCTGACATTTTTAACATAGTAAGGTGTGTTGGTTTATTCTCCTTTCTTTGCTCTGTGCTGAGAACTTTAGCCCCCTGTGGTGTAGCTTTCCTTATGTTAATAGTAGGCTGGTTGGGCACCACAGTATTGGAGACATCGCCAAACTCATTTTATAGCCTATGGGCATAGTGCTGGCACCCAAATTTACAGGATAGCATAAAATACAAAATGCAACATTTTCAGTGTAAGAATATACATAAAACACCCCAAATAAATTATGTAGATAAAATGGAGCATAGGCAGAAAAAAAAATCTCACCTTGAGGAAATTTTGTTCCTAGGAAGAAAAAGGGCAGAGATGAGTTCCCACCCTTAAGAGCAGGCTAATCCCACGAGTATTATCAGTATTGTCCTCTGTGATGGGCCAGGATCAGAGGCGTGAGGCCTGTTGAGGCAAAGTGGTAACCCCAACATTGCTGCAAGAAGCCACAGCCACTGAAAGGCTACAGGTCCCATGAAGGAGGACCCTGTGTACACAGCCCAGTGACAGCAAGGATATTTGACTTCAGTGGTTCTGAGTAGAAGAAAAATCTGAGAGGAATCAAAGTGTGCCTGGGTGCTACACAGAGTCAAAACCTATTAAGAACGTCGTGGGAGAGAACAGGGATGTGAAATTGTGTAGGAACTGGCCCTGGGCAAGTGTTACCCTTAAACACCTGCCAGAGACGTATGCAGCATCATTCTGGACTGGGGGACACTTCTATTTTCCAAACTCACAGATTTCACTAGAAAACGTCAGTGAAAGAGGTGACAATGGGAAATTCAGGGTTAGGGTTTGCCACCCGTAGTGAGTCTGCAACATAGAGAGCTTTAGTCCCTTAAGAACTTAATAGAAATACATGACATATAGACTATAGAGTATATAGGACATGTGTAACAGCCAAATGCAAAGTGAGTTTTGGAGTCTCCCACATGTTCTCTACTTGTGTTCTGGCAAAAAGAGAAAACAAGCGCTCAAAGCAGCAGGCGAAGGCTAACGTCTCTTGCAGCAAAGCAATGCAAAGCCAAGTTGAGGATGTGGTTTGCTCTGCAGCTAGTGCATTTCTTAACACTGCGCTCCACGGTTAGGCAACTTACCTGGTACAGTAGTGCAGAGGCGCGTGACAGGGAGAGTTTGCTCCAGGAAATCTGCAGACTACATCTTGCCGTGAGGAAAAGGACAGAGATGAGCCAGGCATCCTGGGAGGGCTGACGGTCCAGGGTGCCGTTCTCAGCCCTCGCTTCCTCTACCTGCCTGGGAACACTAAAATATTTTCCAGAATAAAAAACATTTTTTTGTCAAATTTGTTATTGCTCAGTGAGCAAAATTCTAGTTTGAATTATTTCCATTTTATACTAATAGACCATCATTTCAGACATACCTGAATGTAATTTGAAGAATATTCCAAGGTAACTAAAACTTTCTCACAGATACTGAGAGAGCATTGAAGAGCATTATCATTGGGCCTGTGTTATGCTCCCAAATGTTTGGTTTTTCTTTCATTTACTTTTAATCATCGCTTAACTCCATGCAGTCTTTAGGGATATTATATTGTTACATTGTTTCATTTTGAAAGAACATCTTTGGATATGAGTCATTCTTTTTATTTTTCCAAACATGTGGCTGATTCTTTGGATCAAAGTAAAAAGCAATCAGTATAAAAGGGGTTTTTTTGGAATTTATTTTTGTTTTTGTTTGGGATACCACATTTAGCCCAAGAAACAGACACTTTTAATGGAAAACATTTCATTGAGGAAAGAATTATTGTTATTATTCCATCTTGGAAGATGCAACAAAAGAGTTTAGAAATCATACATAGAGGTGAGGCTTAGCTCAGCAGCAAAAGTGCCTGCTTGGCAAACACAAGATCATGAATTAGATCCCCGCTACCAAAACACAACACAACACAACAACAACAACAACAACAACAACAACAAACAAAATAAAAACAAAAAAAGAAATTATATGTAATGACTACAA